TGCGAGATCAGCTCTGACACCGGCTGCCCGTTGAAGAAGTCGCCAGCTGGGAGGGGATTGGGGCTGCTGCTGGAGTGGCTGGGGGGAATTCGGCCCCGCTGCACGGCTGGAGGGGGAGGAAGGTTGGGGTTTTCATGGTGAGCACAAAAAATCCCATTAGATTTTCATCCCAATCGAAAAAATCCCACCACATTTTTATCCCAACCCCATATGGATCTCCATCCTGATCCCACATGGATCCTACTGGGTTTGCATGGTAAACCCAAAAGATCCCACCAGATTTTCATCCTGACCCCAAAAAAATCTCATCAGATTTTCATCGTGATCCCACACAGATCCTACTGGATCTTCATCCTGATCCTGCATGGATCCTACAGGGTTTTCATCCCGATCCCCAAAAAATACCACCAGAGTTTTATCCTGATCCAACACGGATCCTACTGGATCGTCATCCTGACCCCAATCAGGTCCTACTGGATCTTCATCCCAATACCAAAGAAACCTTCTGGATTTTCATCCTGATCCTAAAAAATCCCACTGGATTTTCATCCTGACCTCACACGGATCTCCCAAAAATCTCCAAAAAAATCCACAAAAAAAGAGGAAAGAATTAGGGGTTTTTTCCCCAAAACCTAGGATTCCCAGAATTCCTGGATTCCTCGGGAATTTTTTCCCTACCTTCCTTCCTCATGCCCACTCGGAAGCACTTCTTGAGGCGGCAATACTGGCACTGGTTCCGGTGGTGTTGGTCAATTTGGCAATCCCGGTTGGACCTGCGGGAATCATCGGGATCAGCCGGAATTACCAGGAATTTCAGCCCCCCCAAATCCATCCCAGGAATCCCAGAGCTCATTCCCCAGTTTTTATAGGATTTTGTTGAAATGGTCATTGCTGATGGGTTTTTTTTCATGATGACGCCAAAAAATCTCTTTGGATTTTCATCCTGATCCCAAAAAATCACCCTGGATTTTCATCCTGATCCCCACCACGTCTGGAAACGTCTTTGGGATTTAATTGTTGGTGAGCCCATGGATGCAGCTTCAGGAATTCCATGGAATTCCAGGAATTTCCTGTGGGGTTGGGCCTGAAATCCCTCAGGCAGTGTTGACCCCAAATCCCACGGGATTCTGGGATAAAGGGAGAGAATTCCCCAAATTCCTCAGAGCCTGCAAAAGGATGGATTCATCCCAAAATTCCTCAAATTCCCAAAATCCCTGGAAAAGGGCTCCTGGCCCATGGATTCATCCCAAAATTCCCAAAATCCCTGGATAAGGGCTCCTGTCTCCCATTCCCACATGGAATCTCCCATCCAACCTCCCCAGATCCCATTCCCAGGCGGATCCCAGAGCAGGAAATCCTTTCCCAGCAGGAATCGGGGTGGGAAAAGAGAATTTGGGATGAATTCTGGGGCCGGAGCCACGGGAATCCCACCACAGAACCTTCCGGAATCCCAACACGGAATTAATTCATCCTCAACATCCCCGGCGCGGCCGGGAACGTGATCCCGATGAAAAGCAGCATCAGGAGCGGCCCTGACGTCTTCATCCAGGCCTGAATTCCCAGAAAACGACCGGGAAAGGCTCAAAGAACTGGGGAAAAAACGGGAATTATCCCAGAATATTTTTTTCCAGTGATGAAAACATCCAGGGGCGCTGCCAAGGTCTGGGAGCAGCAGGAAAAGATCCCAAAATTATCCTGGATTATTTTTTCCCCAGTGGATAATTCCTTGGAATTTTGGGAAAAGATCCCAAAATTATCCTGGATTTCTTTTCTCCAGTGGATAAATTCCCACCATGCCTGTGGAATTTTGCGAAAAGTTCCCAGAATATCCCAGATTTTTCCCAATGGGCAAAATCACCTGGATGATCCCACCACAGCCTTGGAATTTTGGGAAAAGCTCCCAAAATTATCCCAGATTTTTTCCGGTGGATAAAGTCACGAGGACAATTCCTTGGAATTTTGGGAAAAGCTC